GAGCGAAGGCTAGAAAATGGATAGAATGGGCAATGCGAAATTTGCCGAAAGTTAAAAAAAAAGAAAAAGTGGGTGAAAGAATTTTCTTCAAGTTGTCTTTTATTCTCGGCGGCACTTGGTGAGAAATGACCAACGCAATCAATTTCACGTGGAGAACACCTGTGTTGAATAAAGCATCCAATTCCCCCGTGGCAGACGCAAGAACGAAACACGTGGTCTACACGCACCTGGCGGACGAAAGCATTCCAAGTACATATGTTGGGAATAAAAAAAAAAAAAAAAAAGATCAGTGTTACCCCGGAGGTACATGCGTAATCAATTACGTCTCTTGACAGAATGTTGCGAGTGGCGATGTTTGGTGGTTACATTCTACGATCGACATTGTCAGCTTAGAAGCGGTACAGATTGGTTCGAGCAAAGTGTATTTATGGTTGAGTCAAAAAACTTATAACATTGTTAATATTCTGAGTTTAATTCCTTTATAAACTACACATGTGTTGTAACCTAGGGAAGGTTACTGAATAGATTAATCACACGAAGGTTGGTCATGAATGATAATACTTTGAACAAGAACAACACGTATAAGAGGTCGTCAACGGCTAGAAATGAGTCAAGTGAATTTCACAATGAATCTCAAACTGCAGGATATCTACCAACCGCCCCACGCGGTCAGATGTGGCACAAGGCCGAATTTAATGTGGGTTATCCAAGCCCGTAGGCTCGGCCAAAATTTCCCCGTAGACCCCCGTATAAAACGGAGTCTGGTAGCTTTTCCCGAAACGAGACTCTGCCGTTCGACATAGCGTTCTCTGTGGATGCTCTCTACACGGAAGCATTGAGGATCCACAGAGGAGGCAGAGAGTTTGAACAGCACAGCTGGAGACGAATCTCCAAATGCAGACCAACATACAGTATTTACTACTGTATTTATGTGAATGGGGACATACCCATTATCGTCCGTAGGTAAGCTACAAAAACACGTGATGAATTATTTCATCGTTATCTACTCAAAACGTTACATATTAATTTTTATAGAGAACCGTTACTAAATACGAAGTGCACTTGCTCAATACCAGGGTGTGTTGATAAGTTATCTGTCCGGTGCAGATGTTCAAGTATTTGATCAGATTTTAGAACCTGTACCAAAAAACAAGAACCTTTAAATGCTTCTTTGAAGTTGCAGGCTATTCTCAGATCAGTGTTTCTCAACATTTTCTTTCATAACACCCGATTTAAGACATTTTCAACTGTTGATAAATCCCCCACTCCGCCTATATGAAAAGTGCACTGGTAAAGGGAGTACAGTCAATGCAAAATAATTAATGTCTTAATGCCGGGAAGTAAGCTGTGGCGTAAAAAGCTAACGCAGCTGTCATCCTGTTACAAGTTGCCGAATTTTGGTTTGAAATTTTTGGCATCATTCAGATATTACAATCGCGACTTCTTCTATACGACTGGTTTTAGGCAAATATTTTAAAACATGATGTTTTGTTTTCATTTTGGGAAAATTATCCATTTTTGGTACACCGAGCAAATTACGTTCACGCTAGATTTTGTTTTAGTAGTTCAGAATAAGAAAATATATTCTTAAACTATTAGTTAAAGAAAATTTATTTTTTAAATAAAATAACAAATTCTTGATTATTGCACAGTTGGTCTTCCGTATTTCTTTAGGTTTTATTTTTTTTTATCGTGCTCTTTTTTCCAAAAGATGGTAGAATTACATTATGTCTATTATGTCCTTTGGCCTGACAAGCTACCGTATGCAAATAAAATGTTATTTTCATTCTGTTTTATTTTTTTTTTTAGATTTTGTTTTAGTAGTGACTTAATGTATTGACATGTATTCATTATACCAAGTTTAATAAAAACGTTCAGAATAAGAAAATATATTCTTAAACTATTAGTTAAAGAAAATTTATTTTTAAATAAAATAACAAATTCTTTCAGCTGGTCTTCCGTATTTCTTTAGGTTTTATTTTTTTTATCGTGTTCTTTTTTCCAAAAGATGGTAGAATTACATTATGTCTATTATGTCCTTTGGCCCGACAAGCTACCGTATGCAAATAAAATGTTATTTTCATTTCGTTTTTTTTTTTTTTTTTTTTTTTTTTAAAAAGATAAACATTACTTTTAGAAAGTGAATTACATCTTAAATTTTCATTACAGACTTCGAAACACATCTCTGTGAAAAATATTAGATTTTTAAGAGAATTTTAAACTTGTTTACATTTTTCGTATACAATGGCAGATGATTGTCGAAAAAAAAACGTACAAATGTTTTAAAAATGCTTAAAAGGTTTATTTATATACGGAAATTAATTTTTCTTTTAATTCGTATTAGCTTTAGACCGTTATCTTTCAAACACAACCGATCTTTAAGTTCAAAGAAGGCATATTTTTTTTTTGTATCGAATATACATTGTTTCTGTACATTTTAGGCATAAACTTTAAAAATACTCTCTCTAAGGGTTTCTTTATATAAAATCGGAACTTCTGGGATACTAGGAACCTTAAACATGAAATATATTAAATACGTAACAGTGTTAGAAAGCGATTTTGGAGATCAGCTTCTACCTAGGAGATAATTATCTATGCATTTCTATTGCAAACAGAGTAGACTGTTGAAATCTTAAAGTAGCCAACAGAAATAGACTATTAGTCGATTTTACGTTTTTTACGTGTACGAATTGACCTAATCCAGGGTAATTTTGCCTATAAAATTTTTATTTACCTTTTCGAGGTATACTATAGTATACTATAGTATATAGTATAGTATATAGTATAGTATTTACTTTGTTTACCTTCCCGAACGTAACTTCAAAAAAGCTATTTCTTGAGTTTCTATTTATATAAAGTCGGAGCTTAAATAGTACTCCGGAAACCTAACCGTGCAATATATCGAATAGGCAACATTTTGTATAAATCTAGCTTTGAAATATACCTAATATTAGCAACCCCCCGTAGACTTTATTAGAACACTTTACTACATAGTATAAAAATACTGTATTTTCATTGAATATATGTCGGAGATGGATATTTACTATTGTAGGCTGTTGTTGTAAATATTTTTGGATATGTAAATCTATTTCTCAGACCCCTCCTCTCATCTACCTGGTGGTTAAGAACTCCCTGTTAAAAGTAGTTGCACATAAGTAATTAAAATTGCAAAGAAGCCTGCATAAGTAATCTATTTCTGACGTCAATCTTGACGACGAGTAAATAATAATTACATTCGTGATGTTGTGGAATCTTCCACATTTTCCAGTTACCACCCATGAGAAAATGCACTCTTCTCCTGTGATGATTATCATCACCATAATACATACAGATCATGCGACAAGCATTCATTGGTTAATCTCTTCAAAACTAGCTCGCTGATTGGTCAATTCCGACCAATCAGATATCCTGCACGCGAGGAATGAAATTCCCCGCTCACTAATGTTTGAGCCAGTCACATGATACACCACCTTATATAAACAAAACACGTGTAAGCTCTCACTCTTTCTCCGTTTTCTCGTTCATCTTTCTCTTTGCTGCCAAGATGTAATTTTCAAGACCTCTCGTCATAACCTTGCGGTCAGACGTTAAAGATCATTACCAACATTCACGCAAGTACGAACTCTTAACTCTCCTGAAGTCTTACCAACTTTACCAATTCACATTTCCTAACATGCAACAGGAACTTTATTCTTCTAAACTACAGTATAATAATTAATCCAACTTTATAAGCTCCGGTACAAATATTTCCAAATCTAAGAGACATAACTCATTCAGATCTTCAGCTTATATGCATGTACACCAAACACTAATAAATTCAATTGTTGTTTTGAATCATTACATTCTGTCTTGTATTTTATATTGTACTATTTTACGTCAAATATAAATTGCATTGTGACCGCTACATGTTTGGTAACCTCCAGCGCCTTTGCTTGTCCTTTTCCACGTCATTCCCAGTCAAAGATAAATAACTGTGGTGATGCGAGCTACAATGTAATCTAAAAGTCAACATTGTAAATACTTCATGAAATTGTATTACAATACTTTATATGAATTCAAGTATTACTCAAGTTACAAAAAATAGTACATATTTAAAGAAAGTTAATAAATGAAAATATTATTTTCTCTTTTTTTCTTAGCCAGCGGCCAATGATTTCTATCCAGTGCCTTTGTTCTACAACGATTAATATTTCATCAGGAATTGTTTCAAACTGCGTAACGAATCACCTGCTGAGTATCACCCAACATGGTCCGGAGAAAGTAAAAAATAAATAAAATGTAAAACATTTTTTCCGATTCGGTCGTCAAATAGAAATCCACGTCTTATGCATCTCTTAAACCATAAAATAGGAATACTGTGGCTTTGAACTGACACGGAAACGCCATGTTTTTAACACGCTGTAAAAGTCTTTGAACTTGTTAGAGATAAAAACGAGACTTTCAAACTGGCTACACTGACATAGCGTGTCTGGTAAACATCTTGTGTTTATATATTTATTTTACATTATTTGTTTTTTGCCCCTTCTGTGTGATTTTCTTTTTAGTACGTTTTTCTTTCTTTTTTTTTTTGTTTAATTCAAAAGATTTCCCTGTCTACAGCTAATCACAGTTTCCCATATCGTGTACCTGTTCCCTTAGTTGTGACACAAGAAGGTCAAACGTATTTGACAAACGAATCCGGCTGAATAAAAAAAGAAAAGATAACTGAGAATTAACAAATTAATCGATTGATTGATTAACTCGCTTACTTCGATTTCTCAACTCTTTGCAAGTTATTTAAAACCAGAAAATATTTTTGCATTCTAAGAAATTTTTTTAGATAACACTTATTTAGTGATGTAAGTTTTGCAAATTAATCCATAGTTGGGCGAAGAAAAGGTGGATTCATAACTTTCTCAAGGGTACTTAAATACGAAGAACCCAAGAGGAATTGAAACTCACCTACCAGATTAACAATTCTGATCCATTATCGATTACATTACCTGAGCACCTAAGCTTAT